GAGGGAAAGTGGGTGGCATCGGGGGGGCTTACCCATTTGGGCGGGAAAATCCGCTAAAAATAGGTTACCGGCGAGGCGACCGACGTAGGTCGGTTAAGACTGGCGAGGGAAGAGGTGACCGGAGAACCGGAAGAGGCTTCGAGATCCGGTCAATAGAAGGGAGGAGGAAGAAAAGTTCGGTTAGGGCAAAAAAAGAAAGGTTCCGAGAAGAGGAAGGGAGAGACGCGTGTAAGGGAAATTTATTTATGGTTTTAAAACCTTTTCTTTTATTTAAAAAAAAATTATTATATATATTTTATTAGAAAATATCAAATTTTGTTCATGTACAGCGTTCCAACAAAACATGTGTCTTCCCTAGATAAATTTATGTTCCGGACGCGACGGCAGGGTCTGTTTCTTCATCCGGCATTATCTGGACAAATTCGTCGACGATTGAGCCAATTTAACTTCAATTCGCGCGCGACGGGTCAAATAAAATTATTGTGACCCTTTCAGAACTGTTTAACGAGTCATTGACCGATCTTCACATAAGCAATAACCAAAGTCAAATAAACTGTCGCGGCAGAAAGTCAAACGTCACACGCCGTGGAGTTCACTTTGGCTTTTAAATCCCTTATGGGAACTCAGCAAGAGTTTCAACATGTTCGGCTATAATCGACTCAACTGGACGTCAGGATTAGAAACCGTCAGTATGAAACTTCAAGAAGCGAAGAAATGGTCTAAATTTCTAAGTCATGTAGATCCCAGTCTAGTCCTCAAGAAGAGTCAAAATAGAAATCCTAAGGCTAGATCCTAGGGTATCTAAGGAATGGAAAAGAAGAACTAAAAAATGAGGTCAACAAATGGACCCCCAATAGGTGTGGTGTGTTGTACGAACACGCCACGCCTATTGGCATTGACCGAAATGATCAACCCAATCCCGCAAGAATGTCCAAGTAACCATACTTGGGACAAATCAAAGATTGAATTTGAATTGAGGTGAAGTAGGATTTTTGCTGGGAACAAGAATTTATATTTTGAAATTGCTGTCATGGATTTGAATTTTCAAATAACTTCTGAAATATGTGCAAAAGGAATATTCAAAATTTGACAATAATATCAAAGAATGTACGGAGGAAGAAATCAAATCAAACTTTATCCCAAAGGATGTAGAGAAAATAAGTGAAACAGGAAGGCTACATCAACTCGGAATACCGCTGGGGAAGTTACATTCCAGCTGAATCTAGTCAAACAAATGTCGTGTGTTGTTGTCTTAGGATTCATCACAGAGTCAAAGTTGACTTCTCCTCAAACCTAAGCAAAACAGGAAGATACCAAACCAACTCGGAATACCGCTGGGGAAGTTACATCTGAGCTGAAACTCGTTGAAGAATGTCGACCATTAAGGACATTACACCAAACTCCAAGAAAGGACTATACCAATTTGAGCTACCACTAAGGAAATTATGTTCAAACTAGATCTAGTAAAAAATGACAACCATCAAGGATAGTACGCCTATATTTCAAGAAAAGACTATACCAGTTTCGGCTACCACTGGGGATAATATGTCCGAACTGGATCTAGTCAAAGAATGACAACCATTAAGGAGATTACGCCAATGAAGACCGTACCAGTTCGGGTTACCGCTGGGGATATTATGTCTGAACTAGATCTAGTCGAAGAATGAAAACTGTTAAGGAGATTATGCCAACAAAAGATTGCACTAGTTCGGGCTACCGCTGTGGATATTACGTTTGAACTAGATCTAGTTGAAGAATGGTAACCGTCAAGGAGATTACACCAATGAAGACTGTACCAGTTCAGGATATCGCTGGGGATATTACGTTCGAACTAGATCTAATCGAAAAATGGCAATCGTTAAGGAGATTATGCTAATGAAGGTTGTACCAGTTCGGGCTACTGCTAGGGATATTACGTCCGAACTAGATCTAGTCGAAGAATGACAACCGTTAAGGAGATTACGCCAACGAAGGCTGTACCAGTTCGAGCTACTGCTGGGGATATTACATCCGAACTAGATCTAGTCGAACAATGACAATCGTTAAGGAGATTACGCCAATGAAGACTGTACCAGTTCGGGCTACCGCTGGGGATATTACGTCCGAACTAGATCTAGTCGAAGAATGACAACCGTTAAGGAGATTACGCCAATATTTCAAGGAATCAGAAATGTGAGATATCATGCGAAATTTTGTAAGAACAATGATAGACATATGAATTTATGAAGATGTGAAGAATCATGTGTAATCGTATGAAAATCATGCGTAAACGAAATGTGAAGTGTGAAAAAAATCCGAAGACTTATGGAAACATGAAATTTGTAAGGTTTACAAGATTGTGAAAGAAAATACAACACTTACAGAAGTCTAGGAATAATCAACTCGTGGTGAAAAAATTTGGTTCTTTGAAATTTTCATGATCTAAAAAAAATGTTTTATTGTTTATTGTTAATTAATTTTATATATGTAAAAATATATATATATTATTCATTATAGATATTATTTTACACATCATTCTTGCTTTTTTATCCTTTCTCAAAGTTGAGAGAAACCAAAATTCATTCGTTTTCTCAATCAATTGTCCAAATTTGCATTCATAATTGTGAAGAGAAATTTCAACACATTTTCATTAAAATGTCATGCCAGGAATATAATCAGACACCAAATGTAATACTATTTGATTCCATTCAAGAAGACATAATCAAAATATCTTTCGGAACTACATGAATGATCCATATATCTAAATGTTCTCATATATCAATATACCACTGAATTTAATCCACATATCAACCAACTAGTCATCTATTTTCAGTATCCATGTCAAAATGATAAGTTATATAGGGACTAGCCTCACCTTCTAACATATCATCGGAAAAGTAGAAGCAACTTTTCCTAAATATATATTGAGGTGTGTTGTCTTTCAATGACTTATAACTCATAAGGCAGCAAATTTTCTATCTCAGGATCAGGCTAAAAACAGAATGGTACCTTGTCCTCATTCATTCTCCTGAGAGTTATAGAAACCCTCGTATATAGCACTCCAGGGATGCAGTGTTTAGCTACATCAGCGCCATTGCCTTTCAGAATCAAAACTGATCCCACACGTAAAGGGATCTCCACAGAACCTCTGAATTCTCCATCATCGACAATATGGATCTCTGTTCCAAACACAATATTGCATTTATTGATGAATGAAACTTTGCAGAATGGTCTCGCGAAATTGTGATGATCAACATGTGGAGGAATACAGTCACTAGCCTCGTAGATATTAACTATGCAACTATTGAGAATACAATCTGCTAGTAAAATACACAAAGTTACAATTGTTTGATTATCCTCTTTATGAATACCGGCAAAGGATCAACTTCGTCATGACGAATTATTCCGGGCAAATTTCCTTCTTTGTCCTGAGAAAAATTATAACAACATTTATATTGTATCGTAACCCTTCCTTTACCATGTTTCCACTTCTTGGAATATGTTCTTCTTCTTAACTGACCAGCTCGACCCATGTCTCTTTCCAAAAAGACATGCTCAATAATATCATTTTGCTCACTGCTAGTGAATACACTGGTATGCAATTCTAATCCGTCGAGTATGTTAACATACTTCCCCTGAAGTCTCTGAAAATGATTGAAATTCTATTTTCTTACTTTCTCATATTTCTCCAGCTCATGTTCCAGAATAATTTGTAAAGGACGTGTTCTGTTTACAAATTGAGGAATGTAAGGCTCAACTTTCATAGATCTTTCTTAAGTCTTCTCCTTTTCAGAAATCGCATTTTCTTCGGCCTTCACGAGTTGAGGTAAAACTTCAACTAATTGATCAGAAGTTTTACCTTTTAACTTGCTAGCCATTTGTGTAATAGCATCATCATTTTCCCCCTTTTATCTTAATTGCTCCAGCATCTTATGGATGGGGCAATTTCAATTCCTTTTCTACGTGCGAGTGAGTGTTTCCTTACCTTCCGGCTGACCGCCGGTAGGGGTAGCACCAACAAGCTCGCCCTTTGAAGTCATTACCATCGACTTCATCTAATTGATCGCAGCATTAATAGTCTCTGCTTCATCAATTTTTTCTAACTTTTTTTTTTTCGCGGCGGTGAATTGATTTTTACTCCTGAATTTTAGCACAGACTTTTGCTCACAAAATTCTTCTTTATTAACCATGGTTAAGGCTAAAATTTCGTAATCTAGCTCAATTTGGTCAAGTCGAGATCAAATTTGATCACTCCTCCTTCTTCGAACTTCTCTTTATTAAAGGCAAAACCCATGTCATTCTTGAAAGTGAAAATCAGCCTTCCTCCTGACATTTTCCTGCAGCAAAATAGGAAAAGAATCAGTATGTCAGACCGGGCTCAATCAAGAACAATATGAATTCTTTATTTATTTACATATATATATATATATATATATATATATATATATATATATGGAGCTTCTGGCTGGTTGGTAGGCTGGTGGGGGAGAGTGGTTTCCTCTTCTTCCTTGCTATTTGTTTGGTGGGCTGGAGGTTCTTCCTGCTGGTCATTTTCTTCTGTTATTGTAGTTGGTTTGTTGTTGTTCCTCTGGTTGGCCCTTTTGTCTGCCTGCCTTACCTGAGCCGGGGTCACCATTGGGATTGTGGTGGTGACCTTGTTGGAGGCTGGGGGGGGGTTTCTCTGCCAAGGTCTCTCTTGATTTTAGTTTTAGTGGGGAAGTGTTTAGCTTTCCCTTGGGTTACTGTTCCATTGGTTTGTGGCTTGCTGGTTTTCCTCTGGTGTTGATGCTACTCTGAATGGCTGCTAGCATTGCTCTGGACACTAATCTCCAATGGGCCAAGGCCACCTATGCTGGGGTGGGTGGACACCCTAAGGAACCCTAAGGAAAATTTGTAGAATATGGATAAATTAGTGTTTCCACAAGAATTTTATGATAATTTAGCTGGCAAAAGGTCCTCTCCCTGAATTCACCCCATTGGGTGTAAGGAGGGAGAACCTGCAGTTTATTTCTCTCCCAAGGAAGTTAACTCATTAAATGAGGAGGTTAAGCTGGCTTTGGTGGGAAAATTTTAGCTAGGTCACCCTAAGATGGAACTGGTTAGGAGTTTCTTTGAGTCCTTAAACTTTGCTGGTGCTTGGCAACTGGGGTTACTAGATGACAGAAATTTGCTTATCCAATTGACAATTGAAGAGGATTATGCTAAACTTTGCCAAATAGTCATTAGTTATTGGGGGGGCTACCATGAAACTTTTGAAATGGACCCCTGACTTTGATCCTAGTAAAGAACCTCCTATGGTTCCACTTTGGCTCAAGCTTCCTGGTCTCCCTATTCCTTATTTCAAGTTGAATGCCCTTTTTAACATTGGATCTGCTTTAGGCTGACCCCTTAAAGTTGATGCTCACACTTCTAACAAGGCAAGGCCTGCTCTTGCTAGAATTCTCATTGAAAGAGATATCACCTTGCCTGAAGTTAAAAGAGTGTGGATAGGATCTGAATAGGATGGTTTTTGGCAGGAGGTAATCCTTGAGCAAAGACTTTACTATTGTCAACATTGCAAGATGTTTGGGCACACTAGGGATAGGTGCTATAGACTACACCCTCCAATGAGAAGGAAACAGTCCTCTTTGAAGGAAACTGCCCCCATTCAACTTCTTTGGGTTATTGAGGATGTCATATAGAAGGAGGATCAGAACTCTCCAACCCCCTTTATTTCTATTACTCCCCCTTCTCCTCCTAAGGAAGTACTTAGAGAGGAACCCAATATCATCACTATGCTTTCCCCCACAGTTGCTTCATCTGAGGAGAGGCTGCAAGATTTAGTTCAGAAACAAAATTTGCATCATGTGATTGAAGGAGATAAGGTTACTGACTAGAACCATGTTATGGGGGAGGATTGGGTTATGCAGACCTCTAAGAGAAAGAAAAAACAATCCACAGACAAGAAAAAACAATCCACAGAATCTCAAAGATTACAAAAAGAGGCAGCTTGCATTAGCAATAATATGAAGGTGGGATCATCTCCTGGACCCTCTAGAGGGAGAACCAGATCCAGATCACAACCTTCACCCCATCTTCATCCTCAAAATGCTTAACTTCTCTCTGGTTTGTCTTTTAACCTCTGGTCATTTTATGTCTTTCAAAAGTTTTTTAATTGTTATCCTTAACTTCAGCTGCTATAAGTTGAGAAGGGGTTTCTATGGCCTTGGGGTGATGGCAGACTCTTATCAACATTTAAATACTCTATATCTAAGAAGATATGGAAGACCGTCTTTTCCTTTGTCTTTGATTCACTCCAACAAGTCATTTGGCATTTTTTTGGTGTGTTGTGATAGCAGTAACAATTTGAGAAAGGGTCTAACTGGTCTTTGGATGTTGGTAGATTTCTTTCTGCACTCTCCCATCTTTCTTAAAAGATATGAGTGTCTTTCTATTTCCTTCAGATGTCTCATGTCAGCAAATTACTGGTCACTCTGCTAGATTGTTTGGATTGCAATCCTTGGGCTTTCACTTCCTTCAGATGATTAATTTGATGTACTGGAACATCAGGGGGATTGCTGAACAGAAATCTTTGATCATAATTAAACAGTTGGTTAAGAAACACAGGCTACTGTGTTTTACTATTCTTGAACCTTTGGTTCACTACACTCCTTACAGATTTAGAAAGCACTTCCCAAGTTTCACTTGTAAGTACAATATTAATAACAAAATTTGGTTTTTCTATAGAAGAATTGTTTTTTTTTTTTAAAAAAAAACCAGCCTCAATTGCTTCATATCCAACTTATATGGGATTTTCTACATATTCAGACTACCTTCATTTATGCTGGGAGTTCTGCAAATGATAAAGCTCTATTATGGCAACATATCCAACATCTCAACTCCTACATTCATGGACCTTGGACCATTGGTGGAGACTTTAACATTATAGCTAGATTAAATGAAAAATGGGGAGGGAAACCTGTGGACATTACAGAAATGTTACTATTTAATCAAAATATCAGGAGCAATGCCCTTGCTGAACTTCCTCATCAGGGACCTCTTGACACTTGGAGAAGGGAAAAACTTTTTGAAAGAAATGATAGATTACTGGTCAATCAAGCTTGGCTGGATAACAACTTTATGACTACAATTTCTCATCTTCCTTACGCATGTTCAGATCATAGGCCTTTACTAATCTCTATATCCCCTAATACTGTTGCTCCATTACCAAGATTCAGATTCCTTAATGTTTGGGTTTGGGTGGAACATCCTGAATTCTTTATTAAGTCTATTTGGGTACCTGTTTCATCCTCCCCTCCTTGGTTTAAACTATGACAAACTTG